GTAGTCATGAATTCCTTCACTTGTTCTTTATCGTGGAAGTATCTTATTTTTCCATCAATTTTGAAAGATAGTTTTTCTGGGTAGATCAATCTGGGTCAGAAATTGTTTTTCAGAATTTGAAACGCTTTACTCCAAAGGTCTTCTTGACTTGATGGTATGTGTTAATAAGTCTGCTGTGATTCTGATTGGTTTTCCTTTATAGGTGATATGTCTGTTTTCTCTAACAGCTTTTAATATTCTGTTCTTGTGCTGAATTTCTGGGATCTTGATTATTATATGTCTGGGTATAGATTTACTTTGGTTATGGCTAGTTGGAGTCCTATGTGCATGCCAGATCCATTTCCCATGTTTGGGAAGTTTTCTTCTATTACTTCTATGAATATCCTTTTAATTTCATTTGTGTTGATCCCTGCTTCTTCACCATACCTATCACTTTTAAATTATGCTTTATTGCATCATCTTGCAGCCATTAAGTTATTACTTCCTGATTCTGTGTTAAAGAGATCTTTGCTTTTATGATCACTAGCTGCAATGCTATCTTTAAGGTTTGAGAGTCTATCTTCAGTCTCTTTTAAAGCAGTTTTGCCAGCTTTCGATTGAATTTTTAATTTCCTGCATCTCTCTTTGAATGTTTTATGCACTGTTATTCTTTCTACATTCATTCAAGGTTTCCATCATTTTCCTATGCTCTTCTTTTTTGTCTATGTCTTTAGACCTGCTGAACAATTCTTTCAGTATGTTTGTGATTTCTGTGGTTACCTGAGACATTTTGGATTTGACTGCTTTTACCATCTCATGAAGTTGTTTCCTTACTTCAGTTGCTATCCTCTCAAAAATTTCAGGTGTCTGACTTCTGTTTTCTTCCATGACTGTATCTTCTAGACTTATTCTGTGTGGGCTGGAGGTCTAAGTTTGTCTTTTGCTCCTTTCTCTTGACATTCTCCTGGACTCCTCCCAAGAAGCTAGTTGTGGGGCCCCAGGCCCCTCATGTTGATACCCCTAAGCAATGTTGGGGGTTGGGACCGGCACCTGGGTTCCTCTAATTCCAGATTTACAGGGAGGTGGCAGGACACGGAGCGGGCTTCTCCAGACCTATGCAGCTACACTGTGGCTTTATTGATAATCAGAGCTGGATGGAGGTGGGACTGCTTCTCTCAGCCTTTGTGTCTACACTGGGACTTCCACAATGCTGGCAGACACACAGGGGTGTGTTTGTTTGATTCTGCTAGTGGGTGATGGCTGCGTAAGGGAACCAAGGGCTTCCAATGGAGGTCTCTGGGTGGATAGGGCTTACCTGGCTGTGTGTCCCTGATCCTGCTGGCTGCCTGCAGGAAGGAGCCTTCTGGTGGCAGCTCCTCAAAGGTGAAGGCAGATCTGCTGATTCTGTCTGCCCTCGCTGGTCTACTGCAGGATGTAGTCTTTTGGCAGCAGTGCACAGCAGGCAGAGGTGGATCTTTCAGTCTCCCTTGGCCCACGCTGGAGGGCGGAAGAAAGGGCCTTCCAGTGGCAGCACCTGGCAGGCAAGAGGCAGATCTTCTGATCTTCTTCTAGCTCTCTCTGCCCATGCTGGGCACACAGAGGAAAGGACATTCCAGTGTTGGGGCCTGGCAGGCAGAGGTGGATCTTCAGGTCTTGTTCTAGCTTTCTCTTGCCACATTCTTTTTTGTACTAGGAATTAAACTCAGGGCCTTGTGCTTGCCAGGCACTGAACTGTATACCTGGCCCTGCCAGGTATTTTTTATAGTGCATCACATTTCATTTTAATAATAACTTTCAGATAGTAGTACTCCTATCTTACAGATGTGGATATTGAGGCCTAAAAGAACTGTGAAGATTGAAATTTCAAATTTAAATCACTGTTCTTCATGTTGTTATTACTGTTGCACTAGAAGCTTTTGTTTCTGTTACTATTAATCATGATTGTTAACTTGACTGGATTAACAGATGCCTGGTAGATTAGTAAAGCACACTTCTGGACTTGTCTGGTTGAGTCAAGGGGCTGTGACTTTGGAGGCTGTCTGGTTTTTAGTCTTCCTCTTAGGTGCTCTTTTGAACCTGCTCTGCTGCCCAGCCATGTGAGCATCTTTCCTCTACCATGGCCTTTAGCTATGGTGATTCTTTCTGCCTTTCAGCCTGCTAACCATGGACTGAATCCTCTGAAACCATGAGCCTGATTAAACCTCTCCTCCTTTAAGTTGTGACTGTCTCGCAATTCTTGAAGATAAAAATGCTGTCTGATACTTTCTAAAAGTAATTTCTGTAACCAGTATGATATTATGAAGATGGTCTGCACTACATGATTTTTCAACTTTATGATGATACAAGTGATACACATTTAGTAGAAATCATAATTCCAATTATAAATTTTCAAAAATTTGTGGACTAATGATATGTGACACAGAAGTCTCTGGAGGTGCTGAGAAGTAGCAGCAAGGCTCAACTTTGTTGGTCATTTTATCAAAATAAAAATTTACAGTGTACTGCACTGGTTACTTATGATATTTGTCAGGTATGTTAAATGCATTTTTAAACTTTTAAATACTCTAAACAAAATGAGTTAGCAGGTTGTACTATACTTCAATAATCATGTATATTAATAGAACATTGGCTGCAATATTTAGAATACAAACAATAGAGACAAGAAGGCCTCTCTTGAAACAATTCAGTTGAGATGACAGTGATTTGGATCAGTAATATTTGTGGAATTGTTGAGAAGTTGAAGTCCAGTTATTTTTAAAAGTTATACAAACAAGGTTTAACAGTGAATGGGATGTCAGTTTAAGAAAGATAGGAGCAGCTAGGGATGACCCCAAGGTTTGGCTTGAACAATAAGAAAGATGAGGAATCCATTAAATGAGATGAAGAAGATAGTGAACGACATATGCTTGAAAGGAAAGTTAATAAGTTCATTTTGGGACATGTAATGCTTAAGGTAGGCAAATATCTCAGCTAGAAATGTCAAATAGATAAATATCAGTTTGGAGTTTAAAAGTGATGCAACTGGGAGATTGAGATTTGGGAGTCACCAACATAGAGATGTAAATTAATGAGAATAAAGCAATGAAATTAAATGCTATCACCAAGAAATTAAGTAGAAAAGAGAAGTGGTCCAAGGACTGGCACTTGGTGCTCTTCAGCTCTGCCAGTCCCTGAGGAGAGACCCCAACAGGAGTTCTATGTTACAGGCTTGACCAGTATTTTTAAGAAACGTTGATATCTTACAATGGATTTTGAATTTTCTTTTTCATTGCAACTCTTTCCAGTTATGCCTCTTCATCAAAGCTTTGTTTTATTACCACAACATTATACCAGATGCTCCTGAGAAAGTACTGTTTCCCAACTTTGGGACAAGGCAAAAATGGAAAAAACTGGTACAACATTGTGACCATTTGTCATGGCTGATAACTTAACTAGATTTAAAAAATCGAGCAGGGATACCCACTGGGGACCCCTTCTGTCTGTCTCTCTCTCAGACAAAAGCTTTCTTTCTCTCAATAAATATATTATATTCTCTAAAAAATGGAGCAGATTAGTAAAGCATATTACTGGGTGTTTTTATGGTGGTGTTTCAACATGTATTTACACCAAGTTTGACTCCAGAGAACTTCTAGTCTCAGACTGGTGGTGCATCCTTGATCCCTTTTGTTCTGGACTTCCAATTTTTTGTCTAACTGTTATAACCTCTGGCTCCTCACTGTGCAGATGGCCATTGTGCGCTATCCCATCTCTGATCCTGTAAGCCCATCTAATAAATCTCCTTTCATAAATATAAAATATTTTCCCCCTCTTATTGATTCTGTTCCTCTAGAGAACCCTAACAATGTAAGCATGGAAGGATAACGAGATTACCTTTTATGATTGTTACATTGTGTCAACTTGAGAAGTCTAAAAGCTTACCTAAATAACTCAGCAGTTCTACATCCTAGTGTATAGAGGACATGTCCTTACTGCTCTAGGATGTTGTTCATTGTGTCATCTTGAGAAGTTTAGAAGTTTAAGTAACTAGCAAATGGCCAGGGTCCTCACTTTGTGAATATCCTGATCCTGTGCCATAGCAGGGCATCGAGATGGTGTGAGTGCTACATTCCTCTGAGGGCGGGTAGCATGCTTACACTATAAGGAGGGAAAAGACACTTGGTCTCCTTGTTTTGCTCTTGCTGCTTTTGCTGTCTTCTGCTACTTTGAAATGTTGCCCCATCCATACTACCTTGCCTTGGAGCCAGTTGATTACAGACTAAAACCTCTGTGAACTGGGAGCTAAATAAGCCTTTCCTCTTTTAACTTGGGGTGTGAAGTATTTTGTCTCAGCCAGGAGAGAAAAACAACTAAGATATTACCTAAAAATTTTCAGGGAAGCAGCTTAGAGAAATGTACATCAGACATGGAGGCAAGTTTCAGGAATCTCCCAAGTGGTGAGGAGCTTGCTATGGTGTTTTATTTGGAGATTTAATTTTTAAAATGTGGCTAATTTTCTAGTTTGTCAGATTCATCTTAATAGTTTAAGAATGAAAAGTGTAATTTCCCTGAGAGGTTTCACATTTGTTACTTAATATGTGGTTGGGATTTCTTCCTGTTTAGCACCCTCCATCCCCCATTTCCACATTACACTGGAGAGAACCTTTTTTCACATTTTCTTCTAGTTTGGGTTAGTCTAGAGTCTTGATTGTAAGACAGAACTTCATCTTGCTATTAAGAAAAGTAAAATCCCACGAAATGTTCCTTCATACAACCGTATTATGAAGACACACTACTGGATAGCCTTAGCATGATTTACTCATCACCTCACTAGTATCAGGTCTCTGGAGATTCCGAAAGACAGTCATGGAAGAGATTATTCTTCATTTGTGGAGTGTATGTTTGTACGGGACGGTGGCTAACAGAGGACAAGGGCTCACGGTTGAGAGACCTGAAACCAGCGAAAATCTGCCCAGACTTTTCCTTCAGTCATGTTGTCTTGGGGTACAGGCATTTGAGAGAAGAAATAACTACTAAAGACCAAAGAGTGTCTTCAATTTATTCTTTGGAATCTATAATTACAATGTTGTCCAAGGTTATTTCTCATACATTGTATAAGACATATACACATTTAGAAAACTTACAAAAATAATCTTGAAATTGTGCTCCAATATTTATTATATAGTTTACTGGCCAAGCATAAAAACATACCCCAAATGTTCCTTTCTCTCTTTTTTGGTACAATATTACTGACATTTGTTTGTTTATAGAATTGAGGGCATTACCTGACTGCAGTCATCTTTCCAAAAAGGATATGAAAGTCCATTTTGTATCAAGAGTACTTCATGTTTGTAAACACTGAAACATATTCTCTCTCTAAACTTGTAGCTGTGTGTGTGTGTGTGTGTGTGTGTGTGTGTGTGTGTGTGCACGCGTGCGCATGCTTGTGTGTGTTTGACATGGGATCTCACTATGCAGTTTAGGCTTGCCTTGAACTCGTTGTGTAGCCCAACCAGGCCTTAAACTTGTGATCATCCTTCTGCCTCAGCTTCCTGAGTACTGGAATTATATATACGTGCCACCCTGCCTGGTTTTCTTACTATTTTTAAGGTGAAGGCTTCAATTTCTTGTTGAAATATTGATGCAGTGTTAAATAGGCATATTTGATCCCACTGCCAATGTAATCAAATGGTTGGTTTTTGGTCATAAATCATTTCATCAGTCAAGTATTTCCTAAACATTCAGGGACATTCAGAGACTCATTCTCCTGCAGGTGTTCTCATGTCTGGACTTTGTGAGTGACTTAGGGTGATTGTTTGGATTTTGAAACAGAGCAACTTCAAATATCTTATATATACAACTTCCTAAAACCAACTGCTGCCTTCCAGAACTCTGGATTTTCCCTAATGTGTTTGGTGTGAGTACTGGTAGCATAAATGCATTGTTGACATATCAGAGTGGGACAAGTATAGAATTAAGTTATAATTTATTTTAGGAAGTTCTCTTCTCATGACATTTTCATGTTAGGAAGAAAGAAGACAGGAATGCAGAGACAGAGCTGATAGACTCCCATAAAATTAACAACCAATACCGTATGTCAGGCACTATCCTGCTACTCCTTAGCAAAAATTTATTTAAACCTCTTAGCTTATTCTCTTCTGTAATGTAATTTAGTCCTGGTGTCCCATTTTTCTGCTCCTTAACAGCTTTCTGCAAACTCTGGCTTTTTCCATTATCCACTTCCCAGTTCAAAGGCTTATAATGGTGATGAAAGAGAAAATGCTATCTTGTGTTTAGTCTATTAAACTATTACAGCAGGAGCCAAAAGAGGAAGGAAAAAGGCACACACACACACACACACACACACACACACACACACACACACACACACAAAACAGGGACTAGAAGTAGTGATATATCATCCATAAACTTGGGGCATTAATAGTTATTAAAAGCATTTCTGAACAACAACTTGATGTGGATAAGGAATGTTAGATGTTAAAAGACCTAAAGTCCAGGTCACTTAACTGTAAGACTAGAACTGAAGAAGTCAACCCTTTCTGAGTCTCTATTTGTTCATATGTCAAATGAGGAAAACACCTAAATGACCCACCAAAGAATGTTATGGTCATTCAGTGAGGTAATGTGCCAGGTCTGTGATTTACAATTGCTAATAAAATGTCAAGAAAATTTGGATATGTACACTAAACATAGTTGGCTATTCCCTCTTAGGGCCCTGTTTACTTTTCCATCTATTGACTAAGTTGCTGACCCTGAGTGATGATGTCAGTCTCTTCCTTTCACAGTGCTTAGAGGGTGAAACATGCCTGTTGTCCATTATTGGATAATTGGAACGAAGATACCTGTCTTGGGTCTTAAAATGTGTCAGTAGAGTATTAACATCGTAGACTTTGACCCACTGTGAGGATGATCTGGGATATAACGCCAGGTCCTAAAGGCAGATTGGGATCTCATATGGAAAGGAAATACAGTTTTACATTAATGACAAGGAGAATTGTTGGCTATTGATACAAAAGAAGTGTCAATGCCCAAAATGAAAGAAATACTAAAGAAAAGCTTCCATGGCAATAATTTCCTGCAGAAAACTTGATCCGACCTTCAACTGCTGGGTAAATTATTTTCATTTTTGAGATATATTGAGAAACCACGTTGATGTCTTGGTCACCTAGAAAGATTCAGACATTTAATTTTAGCTACAGACAAAGTAATTGTCAATTAAAAGAAGGGGGAAACATTTCTCTAAAGCCCTTTGTAACTTTAAACGGAAAGCATTTCTTTTTATTACAGGGATTAAGTGTTATAGAAGACAAGAATACTGGTGATCATAACCACAAAGATTTTTTTTTTGCCTTGTCATGTTCCAGATGTGAAACATGCCTGTTGTCCATTATTGGATAATTGGAACGAAGATACCTGTCTTGGGTCTTAAAGTGTCTCAGTAGAGAGTATTAACATCGTAGACTTTGACCCACTCCAGAGCCAAGAGTATTAGGGAACTGGGTCAGGAGCAACTAGTTAAAAAATAAAAGTGGCTTCTTTTGCTTTCCTGCTCAAAATTATTCCCATTTAATTAATGGTAGGATAATGGAGGCTTCATTCTCAAAAGAGAGGAGTGATGATGAAGAACTACTTCCCGCAGCTACACAAACTTGTGGAGACCCAACAGAATTTTATTTTATAAATGTTACTTCAATGTTTAAAGAACTGTGCAGTGATCTCACCATTGGTTGTGCATTAGAATTATGAGAACAGATTTAGCCCCAACATAGTTAAATTAAAATCTCTTGTACCAGGCCCTCAGTGTTTCCCAGTGGACAAACAGCAGTGAGTTAGCAACATAGAACACCCCACATTTTCTGGTGAAAGCATAGTTATTTCATTTCATGTGCTCTCTCCATGATTCCAGTTTGAGCCAAGAGTTCAGCGCCTTAACTCTAGGGTTCCTCAGCTTTCTGTAACTCTTTAATATCCATTAATGTGGCTTGAGTAAGGCACAGCCCAGGCTTTTTTGTCATATGTGCAGCTTATAAGCCTGTTCTTTCATTTTCTCTCACAGAAGGGGCACAAGTGCTCAGTACTTTCCTCCCAGAAAGGGCTCCTCCGCTGGCCTGGTTCTGCCATTCACCCTCCTTGGAATAAGCAGCTAAGATGGCAGGCCCACTATTATAAGACGGATGAGGAACCTGTTGAGCTTCCAGAAATTCATGAAAGCTGTGTATGTGTCTGTCTTGTGAGTGTGCTACTTTTGGTTCTTGGGAGGGGAAGAAAAGTGTGGGCTTTATGCACATGAGATGAGTCTTAACTGGAATTTCAAAAGGGAGGTTGGTATGGAAGGGCATTCAGTGCTGCCAAAAGTATCAGCTGATAATCAGGTGTGGTTGTTTCGATAATTAGCCTACTATCCCACTGTACTGAACACTCTTGTTGATCTATTCATACTAAAAGTTACAAGAAAGAAAATTTTAACTAATAAGATGGTTTTCCATTCCAACCAAAAGTGCCCAAGGCTGTGATTTTTCTGCAAGTGTAAAACAACCAGGGATGGTGGTGTACCCCTCTAATCCCAGCACTCAGGCTGAGGTGGGAGGATTGCCTGGAGTTCATGGCCAGCTGGAACTGCACAGCAAGACCTGTACCACAAGAAAAAAAAATCCCCTCAAGCTCTCACGTTTCACAATTTAAATAGCTACTTAGGTATAGACTAAAAGGATTTTAAAAGATTTCAGATTTAAAAGTAGATTTTTGCTAGATATGGTGGTGCATGCTCTGCAATTCCAGCTACTTGGAAGCTGAGGTAGGAGGATCACAAGATTGAAGTCTGGGCAACTTAGTGAGATCCTGTTTCAAGATTAAAAAGTAAAAAAGGCTGGGGACGTAGCTCAGTGGTGGAATGCTTGCCTGATATCCGTTAGACTCTGAGTTCAATACACTGTACTCTCATTAAAGTTGGATTTTCTCTGTGGTTGGATGGATGGGTGGATATGTAATTTGGGAGAGTGGCATGGTATCATTCTTCAGTGTCATGTTGCTATTGTCCAACAAGCAAAGCAGTGTGAAGTCAGCAACAGGACTCCTTGTGGTTTTCTGACTTTGCTCTCCTGACACCCTCTTAGCCCAGTTTTTTCCCTGAGTACGTTTTGGGTAGGGAGAAGAAGAGACACTGCTTACCAGAGTCATGTTTTAATAATTCATCTTTTATCATCTGGAATCCATCTCCACCATTGGCCAAGTAGCTTGGAAGGATCACCTTATATATACCGTCCATTTGGAGAGGCTCGTAAGTGGGCACTCGACACTTGGTGCAAAGAACATGTAATTGGACCACTCTGTTCCCTGGTTTTTGGGAAAGATCATATACCACATGGATTCCTAGAAAAGAAATGAGTCTATATTTTCCCTGGATTCAAAGGAAGTCTTATTACCTAGTAATGGATTTTTGCCAAGATGTAGACTTGAGACATTCGGCTTGTTTCTCCTAGTTTGAGTTTGAATGATAATTCATCAAAGAAGTAGAGGTGACTCTGCCATTACTCTTTCTTGGTTACCTTTTCTTTCAACATTCCAGGAAATATGAGAACCACCAGAAGGAAAACTGGATCTGGACAACACAGGATAAGAGTGATTTTGCAAGGGAAAACTATATCTCTCATCCTACCTAAAGCCTTCAGTTAATTGGTCCAGTAATTTGATGTAATGGCTTTGGAAATGAAAAGTAGAGATGAGAGGCATCATGCATTTGTAACAATTTTAACTAAAGTATAACTTGGAATAGGGTGACTCAAAAAGTATGCAGCTACCCAGAACTTCCCTAGAATATCAAAACACTGGTGTTTCCTCAGCTCACTCTTGAGAAGATGCTGGATGTTGGGGTTACCCCACAGGCAGCAGCCAGGGCCCATGTTGTCACTGCTCAACCCCAACAACAGTGTGTTTTGCAAAAGGAGAACTCGCCAAAGCTGTCACACCCAAATATGAGTGCACCCATAATCTAATGTCAAAAAATGAGTCCAGAATATGGTTTTAGAGTGAAATAAGATTATTAAGGATTAATTTGCTGCATTGTGGAATTATTTTTTTAAATCTTCAGAAGACCTTAGCAATCCAAGAGTTATGGGATAGATTTTCCCAGCACACTCAGAAAGGTTGAGGACCTGCCCCCAGGCAATGGTACATAGAATGAGCTGTTTCAGGCTGTGTGTGTGGCTGGCTGTCTCTCCCCAAATCACCCTGTATTAACACTGATTGGGCACTGTGTCTTTGAACTGTGGCATGGCTTTAAGGCAATCAATGAACAGAATTTTTTTTTAAAAAAGAAAACAAGCGCTTAACCAACTATGATTTTAGTAGACCTCAAGACAGCTGAGCTGTTTATTATTTAGAAGGCTAGCTCCTCTTAAGGGCCTGTCTGATGCCAAATAAGACTTTGCAGATATTGTTCATTGTTGGGGCCATGGACTTTGACCTCAACCTAATTCCAGTGACTGGAGTCAACAGCCCTTGGAAGTTGGGTAGGTGAGTGACTTACCTCCCACCTGCAGAAATTCTCCAGTGGCCTGGCCATAGCGGTGTACACTGTGCTCAAAAGCCTTCTTCAGGGTGGAACCTTTTAATTGGACCAGGTCAAATGTGCCTCCGAAGGGCAACACAGCAGCCAGATTCTCCCAGGTAATGGTGCCTGAGGATAGCCACAGATAAGGCAAGAGGGAACACAGACCAGTTCAGTTCCCTCAGAGTGAGGAGAGGTGGTGAAGGGGTCTAGGAAGCCTGTCAGAACAGTATCCTCTGTGTCTAGGATTCCTGAACTTAGAGAATGGGTTGAGAATGATGGCCTGGCCCTTCACTACTTAGCAAGAGGATGCAGCTCAATAATGGCTTTTATGTACTCAGCCTCTAAGTCCTGGCTTGTGGCTTGATCCTAAGACAGAAAAGCACTGCTGTTTCTTTAGATAGATAGTGTCTCCCTGCACCTGTCCCCTTTATATGACATGCAATGAACTTTGAGGCTGTCTCATACTGATTGATTTGACTGTATTTCAGAAAGGCTATAAGGGTGTCTTGGATATCTGTATAGTACATTATTTGTACCATATGATGTATGTGTTTAGTAGATTTGTTTTATCATATGATATAATCGTATCTATAAATATACTAAAATAACAGTTTAATCCAATGGTATCTTTTTTCAGCATGGAAGACTGGTAATTTTTATCTTTCTCTTTTCAGATGAATATCAAGGTTGACACTGCCAATATTTTGCATAAAGCATGAAGAGTAGTTATCTTTGAAAGTCAGAAATTTAGATCAAGCTTGCGTTCTGTTAGCTCTGGCTGCATGTGTGTGTCCTTTGGGGATGGACACTGAACTTCATGAATAACCAACCCAAACCTAATTCCGACTGACATTTTGGTACATGGCTGGCAGCAGAGATGATTAGAAGCTTCCTATGGTCATATTTAGGGCAGGAGTCCTAGAGAGAGGGAAAACAGGTCAGAGAGAACATGACTGGGGAGCATACCATTATTCTGCTCATCTATGGGTGATCGGATGCCACCTCCATTTAAAATGCACATGGACACGTGGCTCCAAAACATTTCATCTGGGTGTCTAAGGTTGTTGTTAATCTGCAACAGTAGCACAAATTTGCATGAGTTATTCTGGGTCTTCTTCCCTGGGATCAGTTCTAGGATTCTAGTTAACTCTAATGAGAAAATAAAACTCTTCCTCTGGTCTATGTTCTCAGAGATTTCACAACCATAGTCCGAACTAGTTGTGTGCTCCATTAGTCAAACAACAATTATTATTATTTTATTTATCTTCTACTAGTCTGTTAACCTTTCATTAGTCAGAAGCAAAATGATGATATTGTGACCAGTCCTGTTTCAGGCTCTAAGAGGCAGGGAGCTCTATATCCTTTCTTCTGAATTCCCTGTTCTCTTGGGTTAGTGAGTCTTAGCAAAAGGGTTTCTCATGTCAAGACTAAAAGCCAGCATGGAGTGGCCTACAGTGCTGTCCCTTGCAGGCTCCTCTAGGGCAGGTGGGGCCCTTGATATAAGACCTCATGCCAGCTGGAGCCATTCTGTGTTCCCTAGCCAGCTCCCAAGATGGCAATTTTGGAGGGACTGAGATAGCCTTCTGAAATTGGGGAGAATCAGGTTCATTCTTTTCTTTTAATTATAATAATGCATCTAATTATAAGACATAAAATGAATACATTGTTCCCTGGGGACAAATGGGCAGACTGTCATTGTTTAGAAAAATAGCACAAAAAGTGAAAGTTCTATATTTACTCAGTTTCTTTAACAGAGAAATACACACTGCTAACTGGCTGTGGTGGTTCTTTCTAGACCTTTCTCTCAGTATGAATATATGCACTTCTCTTTGATTAGTTTTTTATACTCCCTGCATGATGCTGAAGGGTCAGTGTGGGCCTTGCCTTGGAAAGCATGAATGTCATTTATTTGGCAAATGTTTATTGGTTGAATATGACCGTATTCCAAGTACCACATGCCCAACATGTGGGTGTAGACAGGGAACCCATAGGATGGCCTGTTTGATCTGGCTCAGCCTGATCCCCAGAGAATAACCACAGAAATCTGCCCCCAGACAAGGGTCCCTCATGGGTTATCTTCCTCTGGTCAGGGGCTTCTTATAGTAACAGAGTGCTGGCATTCTGTGCTTGAGAAAGAGGCCCATTCACAAAGGGCAAAGTTCCCTGGGGACAAATGGGCAGACTGGAAGAAGACCAGCCTGGCGAAGTTACATCCCAGCTGATGTGTTTTATCTGCCTTCAGGGTGGCAGAGTTTGTCTGTGTCTTTGAATCATTTATAGCCAACATTCTGACATCCAACAAGCACACCTTAAAGGTTTAGTTTTTATACAGCAATAAAGTGATGGTCACTCAATATAGTTCAGACACCATGCCAAGCTTCTTGGTAAAATATCAGTCAAGTTTTGATCTGGGCACTAGGTTTGTAAAAGTCTCCAGTTCTGTTACTCTGTGTGCCCCTTGTAAGGGTTAACTGATTTAGTCAACTTGAGAAGTTTAGAAGCTTAACTAAATCAGCTAAGCAATTTTATACCCTAAAGTGTAGAAGACCCATCCTATCACCTGCATGGTATAAAGGGGAATGAGAAAGTATGGATCTGCTTCTGTTCTGTGGAGGAGCTCATCTTTGCCTTCAACTTGGATGTTGTCTCCTGACTTCCAGAGTGGACTCTGGCTTCTGCCACAGATCCTTCAGCCTTCCAGCATAGACTCTTCAGCCTTCATCGCAGACCCGTCAGCCTCCTGATACGGACTTGTGCGGGACACTGCAGTGAACTCCAGACCTTGGACTGAATCCTTTAGTCTCCAGTGTACAGACACCCTATGTGCTCTTCTTCATCAGACTCTGTGGATGACCATTGTTAAGCCAACCTTGTAATTTCTTACACATTTGTATATTTTGTGTGTTTTGTGTGTTCCTCTAGTAAAACCCTGACTGATACACCCCTTATTCTCTGTCTTCCTTTCCTCTTCCTATGCAGACCCTTCGCTCCTGCAGGTGACTTACTGCAGCATCACAGATCAGGTTGCCCATGTTGCATTCCATAAAACGGCATGATTGAGTGGAGCCATTCAGATAAACAAGTGTTTTCCCCAGTTCCTGAGTAGAATAATTAGCTAATTGTATCTTCCATTTGTTAATGTCTGCTTTTATGCTTGGATCTAGGAGAAAAAGAAAGAAAGAATCAAGAAAGGAAGAAAGGAGGGATGAAGAAAGCCCATAATTAAAGCAGATCTCATTAATGTTAACTTCCAGAGAAGGAATCAAACATTAAGTAGCCTACCTGTCATAAGTACACATTTCTTTATGACAATTGTGTATATTTTTGTTTCATCCGTGAAATTTAATTGGGGATCTCTATTTGTTCCCTGACAGTAAGACCCAGGCTGCCTCTTGATGCAAGGATATGCTGAACATCTTAGCATTAACTCACCAGGCCTGGGTGAGCATTTGTCAACCTACCTGGGATGGCACTGCTGTGGCAGGGGACTCTGAAAGGCCCAGAGTGTATCCACAGGGCCTGGTGAAGGGTATGTGTTGTTTTGGGCCCAAACCTCACTGGCTATAAAGTGGCTGTGTTAACGACAGCTTTTCCTGGCTCTGTGACACCTCAGTGCTCATCCTTCCTGAGCTGATCATGGAAAACAGGTAAGATCTAGTGAGAGAAGCACAGGAGTATGTTCACAAGCATGATGGAAATGACAATGTATATTTACTGAGTCCTAGAAAAAAGTAGGCAAAGTGTTCCTTTATCTGGTGAATAAAGAAATTGAAGCACCTGCCCATGACAGTGGCATTGCCCTGGAGTGGGGTGCTCGTGAATGAGCCCTTTCCTGCCCATTTTAAACCCCCTTGTCTCGATAATCAACTCTCCTCTGGATATGGGCCAAGGGTAGCACCAGCTTGTTAGGATCATGCTTCTAAAAGGCAAGAACAGTCCAATGTTAAGAGGATCTGGAGAAGCACAGGAACATTTTCACAATTGGGAGTTTTAAATTTCCTTATCCATGAAGAGAGAAACCAAATTCTTCATTACTATTATGGTTAAACATTTTAAAAAGGAGTGTAAAAAAAGGAACATTTAGCCTCCTAATTTTTGAATGGCGGAAAATTCACCTGAATGTCACACACCTTCAGGAATGCTGGTATTTAGAAGAATGGGGTTCCCAGATGAAGTGATGACATTTCCTTTTTCATCAAACTCGACCTTCAGATAGCCTAGGTATTTTCCAAAAGCATAGGCCTGGACAACAGGCACCTTCCGCCCATCTTCAGAGGTGACGATGAATGGGTACTTCCCAGCAGGCACCTCTTTGGAAGGTGGGTTGCCTGAAATTAAAAAGGCCAAAACTGATCAACTCAGCTTTTCTACATGGCTTGCTCCAGGCCAGCAGGCCTCTGACCAAGTGACAGCGAGTTTTAAATTGATGATTTGTCAGCTGTAGCTCTATATGGCTGATCTTTCAGAGCCCTGGCACTTTCTTCTGTTTCTGAATGCCTTTTTGACACAGGAATCCTTCCATTCACAACTCAGTAGGCACTTACTAAGCTTTTCCTAAGTCCAGGGCATTATGCCTGGTGGTGTATAGCATACAAAAAGAACATTGCTAAGACTATCCTATCTCCATCTTGCCTTGGCTCTATCCTTTAGCTGGGTGGATTAGCAAAGCCACTTTGCTTTACTGCACTTCAGTTTCTTTGCCTATAAAATGGAAAAAATACAAATTCCTATTCCACAGGGCTGTTGAGACAATTAAGCGTGTATACTTCCTAGCACAGTGCCTGATAAGGCATAATATATACACAATATATGTAGACTTCTTTTCCATACAAGATGATGGTTATCTCTAGAACCCCTGGATACATATTCAAGAACTTAGCATCATCAATGGAAGATGAACAAAAATGACAAAGATCTGTACTTGGGTTTTGCTGCTAAATTCTCTGTCCTGGTAGGTATCACAGAGCCCTCTATCCTTTTGGAAGAGCCACATTCACCACCGGGCTCAGTGGCATGCCAGCCATCACTCCCAATCAGGTTCTGCCGGCCTCTGTCTCAGAGGGGACCTCAAAGAGAGCCTGGGAGCTGTTCATCATCAGGCAGCCTCCTATACATATGCTTGCTTGAGGGCAGGAGTGTGGCTGTATTGGGAACACAGTGCCTGGTGTCTTATCACTTGGCACACTTAAGTTCATTAACTGTACTCCATGCATACTGTGGTTCATGGTTTATCTCCATAGAGACAACATAGTTTGGGCTGTTTGGAATCAGAGTTAACAAAACATTAGACTTACATCACTGCTAGTCCTGCCTTTTAAAGGCTATGGGGCAAAATAAAAAATTCTATGAGGAATGAAAGCATGTTGTACATGATTGTTGTCCTTCCCTTTCCCCCAAGAAAACTGCCTCGCCTTGAAACAATTCATTGCCAAAATTGCTTTTCTTCTGTTTTGTTCTCTTACACTGATATTCTAGATAAAAGCCCAAAAGTTTGAGAGTTTGAGGCTTCTGCTCAGAGTGTCTATAACTACAGAGGTTCAGTTGAGATGGCCCTCTGGGCCCTCTTGGTGATTGAACTAAGGTGTATCTCTCAGTAATCACTTATTCTCTATGCTGCCATGGTCATACATGGTGACAGCTTGTCACCTCTGTCATCATATCCATGGTTATTTCTTCCTACTGGATGTTTACAGAGGATTTGGGAAACTTCAGCATGCATTAGTTATACACATGAACCAGTTATGAGAGGTGGCCAGAAGTTTGGCCTGGGCTTTGTCTCATTTAGACCTCCAAGCTTCCCATGAGGCGGGTCTTATTATTAACCATACTTTGTACAGTAGAGACCATCTTAGGCAAAGTGCCCAAGTTCACGTAGCTGATATGCTATGGGTAGCAAGTGGAAACCAGAAAACTGTAACACACTGGATCTTGTGCAGATCTTCTTTCCACCACCTAAAGCCTGTGAGTTATTCTCATAAAGTCTGTAAGCCACTTCCCAAAATCCACTTAAAAAATTAAATGCATACTGAGTATGGACTTTTCTGTCTGAAGCCCTTTTTGTGCTTCTCTTCACCTAATACAAGCTAGAGAGGCATGCGATGAAGAAGCCATTCTTTTTTTTTTTTTTTTTTTTTGTCTTTTTCGTTTTTATCGGTACCAGGGATCGAACTCACGACTGCCTGCTTACAAGGCAGGCGCTTATGCCGCTGAGCTAAATCCCCAGCCCCGAAGAAGCCATTCTTGCCATGCACTTTCACTAAAAGCTACCTCCCGTGCAGCACAAAGACCGCAGAACACAAGTACTGCAAACACCAGTGCACAAAGCAGCCACAAATGTTGCTACTGTTAATGTCCTACTTTCTTGCTTCTAAAATAAAGGAAGTCTCAGAACTTCCTCAGAACTTGGCTGTGACGGTAGCAGATGACCTGATGCATGATGGAGAAGTAGATAAGGTGGACGCACTGATCTTCCTTGTTGTGTTCTGGTTCTCCTTTGGGCAAGGCTGGAACCTGTTTCTTACTCCTGGAGCCCCAAGGATTACAGAAGCTCCTCTCAGCCTGTTCCTCATCTGAACTCAGATATGTGGGAAAGTGCAGTTCCCCCAAACTTCCACAGGGTGGCGGAGAACAACACCTCATCCAGCAGGGAAAAAAAATCGCAGAAATCAGGAGTCTGGAGGTTTCCTAGAAACCCAAGAGAATTACATATCTGTCTTTTTAAAGCCTTTTCCCCTCTTTCTATAGAAATGTCTGCATTTGAACAGCATGTAAAAGTTGGAAAAAGATGACACAGTCACAGCTTAGTGTGCACTCTGCAAATGGGAGTTGGCAAATCCCATTTGTCTAACGGAATATTTTCTAGTTTAGAAAGTCCATAACCTCCTTTTATTAAAACAAAAACTGTGTCGTTGGCATTTTAAATGGATTAAATCAGGAACAAGAAGGATGCTTCCTATGTTTCTGAGGCAATAGCTGGACTCAGTTGGCTAATATTTGCCTCCTTCCAGCCGAGTCCTCTCTAGATCCCCTTCTCATTTGACAATCCAAGAAAAGTACTGGCAGAGAAAGCACTCCAGGGCTTCACATTTTCCGTATCATTCCATGCTGCTCAGCCAAAAACTGTCATACTCAGAACATGCTTTCTGCGGAGCCACACCTTTGTCTTTAGATGCCTGCCTCATTATCTGGGGCAGGACAGAAACTGTTCATCAGACTGTTCCAGTCATCTGGCCAACAACTTCTCCAGGAACCAAACTGGGGGTGGAGGTGCAGCTGTTCACTGACATCTGGACTTGGCATACCAGGCTCTTCATAACATAGTGCTGGTGTCTGGGGAAATCTCACAAGGAACACAGTGTTCCCAACAGTGGATCTGAACAACTGTCCTCCCAGCATCACGCGCTCACAAGCAGAAGTATCAGGCAGCAGGCTTTAACTATAGTGGTTTTCAACTGGAAGAATTATAGAATGTTTTGAGGTAGTTACACTACAATTTTAACCCATATGGGAACTAGTTTGAGAACTTTAGAGTTGGGCTCTTTATAAAAGGACTAGATAAAAATAACTGGAGGTGGGCATGGTGGTCCAAGCCTGTATCCCAGCAACTGAGATGCTAAAGCAGGGCAATCAAGTGTTTCAGGTCAGTCTGGACTGCATAGTGAGAGCCTGTCACAAAAACAACAAAAACAGATTTAATAATTATTCTTTCTTGTGGTTGAGACACAATACCTCACTCCTGTAAATTAAAGGGGAAAGTTTAATTTGGTTCACAGTTTTGAGGAATTGAGTCCATGGTCAACTGGGTCCAAGGCAGAAATATCATAGAGAAGGGTGTGATGGATGGGAAGCGGAGGGGTTGGGGTGGGGTGTAGTATTCATAGCACCAATATCACACTTCTTTGACACACCTGGGAGGATGCTTTACTAATCTAGGCATAACTTAATCAAGTGAGGCTGACTTGTCAGGGTTAACTGCCATCCTCTACTTCAAAATCATTGCTTTTAAGAGATCTGAGTCTCTTTAAAATTCCTTGGAAGAGGCTCATTACCACCAGACATGCTTCTACATACTTCTGTCTCCTAACACAAGCCACAGTCATGGACACATCTGGCTGGTGCCTGGGTTACAGCAGTGACCTCTTAATCAGCCTTGGAGATTTTCTCATCCAGTCTCCACACAGATGGCTGAGTAGTCTTTCTGAAGCATAAATACGATCACGTGCATCCTGGGCTAGATATCTCCTACCGGCCTTAGGAAAAGCAATATGGAACATCATATCATAACCTATAGGACCCATGGATGAGGCCCTTGTTTATCTCATCAGCTTTATCTAGAATGGGGATCTATAACCCCATGGTACTGGTCTGTGGCCCACTGCGAACCACTAGGAACAGGCTGTGCAGCAGGAGGTGAGCAGTGAGTGAGGGAATCAAGTTTCATCTGTATTTATAGCCATTCCTATTGCATATCACTGTGTGAGCTCTGCTCCTGTCTGATCAGCAGTGACATTAGGTTCTCTTAGGAGCTGGAATCCTGTGAAATGGGAATACAAGGAATCTAGCTTTCCTTTGAATCATTCTAAAATCATTTCCCCACCCTCAGCCCTATGCATGGGAAAATTATCTTCCAAAAAAGCCAGTACTTGGAGCGTAAAAAGTTGAGGACCACTGATCTAGAACATCTACCCTGCCTTTTAACAGTCTTGATCTCTTTCTATTCCTGAACCACATCCACAACCGAGGAACCGTCTCACATGCTGTGAGAACTTTTGGCGCCGTACACTTACCTGTGAATTAGTTACATATTTTTACCTTCAATTCATTCGTTATCAACAAAGTGGGAAGAACAATATCTATCTTACAGGGTTTGGGAGAGGGTTAAAAAGTTAATTGAGCAAGTAAAATCTGATGCAAAATAGATGCTTGATAAAGATGAACAATGATTATTTACGTAATTAACTTCTGGAAGTCTTAGTGATGTTGGCCCTAATGTCTATCTCTCAGGGAACATTCATTCACAGGTAATCCCTGAGATTGGGTCAGATCTTCCTATTGTATTCTTCTATAGCAACTTGTACCTTGCCTTTCACAATATGCTTTGTAGATATAAAAACTATGATTTATTTGCATAATTATGTATTTTTTATTTTAAAGAAAAAAAATAAAAACAGTACAAAATTTTGAAATACAGTTATATGAGTGTAACAAAGGTTAGTCTGTTGTGTATTGTTATGTTCAAAGTAGCTGCTCATATTACAAGACATAGGCATTAAAAATTGATCACGGGCTGGGGATTTAGCTCAGCGGCATAAGCACCTGCCTTGCAAGC